ATAAAGGTATAGAAGAAGATATAAAAGTATTGATTATTATTATTAATAATGATCATACGGGTAACTCGTATATAGAATTATATATGAACACTGATAATTTAATTAATCATAAATTAATTAAATTAAAATAATATATACATTGAACATTTATGAAAAGAAAGGTTAAACACGTATATAATTAAATAATGAGTAAATTTCAGTAAATTAAAGATTAGAATAATTCATTTAAAATATTAATAAGCATAAAATTTCATCTGTAATATAAGTACTGTATATGTTTTGTACAAATGTTTATATTATAAATGTAAAGAAAGCATTAAATACATTAAAAGATACCCAATAAGAAAATATTCTATTGATATAATTTATAAGTATATTTTATGTAAATTTGAATTTGATTTTTGTAAAAATACAGATGCATTTACTTGTTATTATTTTAATTATCAGATCTTATCAGATTCTTATCTTAATAAACTGATTATTTGAATAATATAAAATTTTCTAGTATATTAAGAAAATAACAATATACTGTAGCAATAATATATGAATCAATGAAAGGAAACTTATTGTAATTTTATGTAAGCAATTCGTCAATAATAAGCTATCAACATATAGTCTATAATATTTAATTACTGCTAATAACAATTCTTATATAAAATTTTAAATACTGTATTTATACTGTACTTTGCAAAATTATTTAGTTTTATATCAGTTTATATATTTTCCTCATTTGATTTAATTCTAATTATATTCTTTTTATTCATATTCATTACAGATTTAAATATTACATAAAGATTTAAATTTATTAAAGTACTTCCGAAATTTGATTTATTATGCTTTGGATGAACTAACAGTTCTTCAATACTCATTTGTTTCTTACTGAAAAAATATATAGAATATAATTAATATAAAATTATTGGGCTGCAATTTTCATTGCAGACCTAGCCTATATATCCCCACTGTCGTCGTCTCTGCGGTGTATCTGTCCTTTATTAATCTCGAGAACGGAGTTTGATGAAAATTAAGACCAGATACCGAAGCTTAGAGCCGAAGGCCCCGATTAACTATATACCAACTTCCGGTCTAAACAGGAAATCACATGATTTCAATTCAAAATTTTCTCGAGAACGAATTTAGATAGATGACAGGCATAACTCGATTGTTATCAGAAGAAGTATGATTAACAGGGACACTACTAAAATAGAAACCAGGTATGAAAAACTTAGGAAACGGAGACCTCAATTAATTACACACACAAACTTTTGGTCTGAATCGAGAGTCATATGATTTTTTAAATTACAAAATAATTAAAATTGTAGCCATAATTGATTTCAGTATCGAAATTCTTTAAGCAGTTTTAATACGCGTATACAAGTTAATATGCTTAAAATGAAAAAGCTTATTAGTGGATGTTTCAATCTGTTTATTACATTTTTATACATTAAAAACAAAATACTATCATATATTTGAAAACAAGTCGTAGTAGTCATGAATGTTTGAACTTCAAGCACATGCGTGTATTTTTACAATAAGTATTAGCAGTTAAATAATTATATAAGGATAGGTCTACCAAATGTTTCTGTATCTCCTTTTTACAGTAATTATCCCATTGAAAACATTTTCTATATTTTTATAGTATTGAGTTAAAACTTGTCAGATGAAATATTTTTCACTAATATTTATTCTTCTTTGAAGTTAAATGCAAAGAATAGTCTGAGAACTCGGAATTAATCCTGAGTCCTCAGAAATTTTCGGTCTCGACCTACTCCAGAAATGTTTTGTGAGCAATCTGTGCCAAATAGGCTACATCACACCTGGCTTCCTCAATAGCGTGAACCACCTTAGATATGGAAAAAAGGCCCTCTTAGTGCTTACAAAGAGAAAAGAGCCAAAAATGAAAAAGTGAAGAACATATTGAAATCAATTTTTGAAATTGATTTAGTATTGTGTCCACAACACTGTATTGCGATAAGTATAGATCCAAACAATTTCTCTATCATTTAAGCTGCTAAAATGATCATTTTTAAGTTATCATCACGTTAAATCTTTGCAACTTTTCTCGATTTTCTAAGGAGAACACTTTTTGAATATATTAAAATTAATCCGTATATTATTCTGCAATATCATTCAGGAAACAAAACTGAAATCGACAAAAATCGAACAGAAACTTGAAACATAAAATTAATGTAGTCATTAGAACATTTCAACAATATGAGACAGACTTTCATGTTTTTTCATAGTTTTCAAGATTCAAGATTTATTTCAGGATTAAAACATTATAGCATAAATCTGTCTCAATTCATCATAAAGAATTCAAGATTGAAGAACTCGAGGTTGCTCCTTTGCCAAGAAATAATAGTGTCAGTCTTTACGATATGAAAGAACTGATTCATATGAAATTCTTTCCAATGAAAGTCATGTTTATTTACTACACCAAGTGTATATATGTACTTCTTTGTTTATGTGTCTTTCAATTCTCCTCATTTACCTTGCTAAATCAGGTTCACAACTATTTCAGATAGAAAAGGAAGAAAGAACAAAACTTATTTTATCTGTTTATTATTTATTATTATTATACTGATTATTTTATCTAATTATTAGAAACTGTCTGCTATTTTTTGAATGATTATAAAGTAATTAGCAATCATATTACATTCCATAGTAATTATAATTTATAAATAAACTTACATAGATTAAATAGCCTAACGTTGGTCTAACATTTTTTAATTATTAAATATTATGCACAATAACGAAAATATCGTAAATTTAAAACAAATTTTGAAAACATATTGAATATCTTAAAAATAGTTTTAAGTTTTAATTTTTTCACTTTATCTCTGACTTGGAGGGTACTAAATTAAAGTTTTCTGTCAAATGAAAAAAAAATGTTAGAAATTGAAAAAAAATCCTTTACTTTTAAACTGTAGGTCACATTTATACAGAACCGTAGAGTTCGATGAAATGAGCATTTTTTATGAAGCAGCCTAAAGTCGGAAACAAAAATTGGCGGAGCTATGGCAAATAGAAAACTTGGACGCACCTGTGTGGTAGACAATCATCATCACACCTCTACATTTACCTTCTCCTTATTGCGTATGCAGTGTTGTAACTAACTTTTAATCTGTCTTGTGCAAGGTTTTATTTTTAGGTATCCTTTTTTAGTGGGAAATAATAATAAAATAAATATGATAAAACGATTGTTTATAAATATTTTTTTGCACACAAGAAATATGCAAAACCATTCACACGTATTTATAAACGAAAATATTATTATAATATATTTGACAATTTTTTGTCATTTCCATTTCGAGGCCTCTCTTTGTCCTATTCCTGTGCATGTGCTCCTATTGCACCTGCCTATTTATTGCACTATGTTATGTTTCAGGATAATGATACCGAGTACATAAAGTATAGTAATCACCAAACATATGCTTATATATAAAGTATAGTAAATTAAACTTTATTGATATTTTTCTGCCAATTTACAATAAATATTCGAAGTGGCACCGCAAACTTCATTACACAGAGTACATGCACAACGACGAATCACGTTTTGTCGAACTTTTTCGAAGAGCGCTTGTTATCCTCTATTATTAATAGAGATAACCAGCGCTCAAAATATAGATGGGGATACTATTTACGTATTCCCATCTGTATTTTCCATCTGTACAATTCCGGATAGTGGTGTGTCCAAATTTCTGTGCCAATTTTTGTTTTTGACCCTAGGTTACTTCATAAAAATGTTTATCTCATCGATCTCTATCACCCGTTAAATTTACGATACATCGAACATTAACTTCCTGTGGGCTTTAGGTCTATTTGACATTTTGTAAATTCTATTTCAAATTTACGGCAGTATTTCTTATATTGTAAATAAAGGTGTTTAGTTAATTGGGCTGTAATTTGAAAAAAAATTGTAGACTTATAAATTCCCACTGTCGTCCGTCAGTTTGTCTGTCCTTGAGAAAGGAGTTAGATAGATAATCAGCATGACTTTATTGCTAACAGGAAAAGCATGATGTACAGATGTAAAACTACTTAAAAAAATTGAGAACATTGTAATGAAAAATTGTTAAGTAGATTAAAATATGTTAAAGGAAAATACAATTTTATATGAATTTGTTTTATTAATGAATAATTATACATTAATTTAAGAAACTTATTAACAACTATAATAAAATATAATTTAATTTTTTTATTAATTTGCAAAGATATTTTGAATGATTTTATTTTGTTAAAAACTGTAAGTTTTCAAAGTACAGTATTCAAAAATAGAAGCATGATTATCGTATAAATATAGTAATTTCATCATACCAAAACACAATTATTTGATTTATTATGGTATAGATTTGTTTCAAATCGTAGACACATTACTTATAAAGGTTTTAATGGATTAATGAATACGGTAAATAGATCTCCTTGTAGTATAAAAATGATAGCTATATTAACGTAAAAGTTTGATTAAAAATTTTCTGTTCAAATTAATAAATGTCCAAAGTAATTAGAAAAACTTAATTTTTAATTTTTATAAAATATAAATTAGTAAAATATCAAATAAATAATTAATTTAATATTTCAACGAAATAACTAAAAGACAGATATCTGCACTTAGGTTTAAACCTTGACTGATTCCAGACACTAGTTGGCAAGAGAACAAACTAGTGCAGACAAATGCAATGTCAGTAGTAATAAACAGTGCACAAAAAGATTGTTGACCTACATATCCTTGCTGCAGTTCCTTACAAAGTTGTATGATACAGCAAAATCTCAGGGTCAAATAAAATATTCCTTTCCCGAAAACTTTATAAATTCCAATAAAAAATGTTCGCAAGTTACATTTTAATATTCTCTAATTTATTCCCATTTTATTGCATTAAAGATTTAATACTATTATTTTAAAGTGTTGTTTATAGTTTTAACTTATATTCACAACTTAAATAACTACAGCATGCAACTACGTAACGTAATTATTAAATTAAAAAAAAAGTAATATGATTTACCTTAGCTTCAACTTCTTCTTCGGTAGACGATTCCTGAAACGATCTACCGTATTTTAAGTAAGAAGAATAAGCTGAATCACTAGAAGATTCAACGGTGGATAAATGTTTGCTTCTCAAAGAATGGCCAGAATCATCTAATTCATAACTACTAGAAATTTTCGTTCTTCGGAAAGAAAACGAATCATCGTCATCGGCAAGACCAGAAGTTCTTCGTCGATATGAGGATAATCCTAAATCGTCGTCATCGCCTCTGCTAGAAGTCCTGGATGTTCTTCTAAAACTGGAATATCCTGTGTCGTCGTCATCGAATCTCGAACCTCGAAGAGATGTTCTTCGGGTCGACGTTAAATCATCCAAACCACTTCCGGTAATAGATGATGTAAATCGAGAAGTTCGGCCAATCGACGATTCATCGAGGCCGGTTGAAGAGCGTGTGCTTGACGTCAAAGAGGATCTTGTGAAAGAATCATCAGATATGCCTACAAAAATTTAAATATTGTTTTGTTTATATGTATTTAAAAAGATAATTCAAATGAAGGATGACCGATGCTAACGGCAGTGATTAAATGATTGATTAAACCACTTACCTTCACTGTATTTATATGTTGATGAACGATACGAAGATCGTGAATAAGACATTTTGAGCTATCAAAACCTAAATTAATACAACAAAAAAGTAAATATTTTAATACATTATAAAGCTATTTAAATGAATTATGTCAAAAATCTTATTAAAGTTAATTATACTGTTTAAATAAAACATTGAAAACATTGTGAAATAAAACAGACTTTTCCAACGTCTTTATTACGTAAATCTACGCTTTTTTTAATATAATTTAATTGCGATAGTAAATTAAACTGAATTTAAATTAACTGAGAGAAAAGAACAGCAAAAACTGCAATAATAAAAGTATTTTTATTACGGTAGAACGTTTTAAATTGGATAAAGTTACATATGTCGTCTAACTTAAAATACACGTTACTGACATGATGAAATAACTGTCCATGAACAAGAGAAAAGAATTTGATTCTATTGTCTCTGAGGAATTGATGATAGAACAAAATCGTAACCGTATGTTTCCATTAATAGAGCCAAGATCAATAAAGGAAAAAGATACATAGCCATGAATTACATTTTCATCACATGAAAGTTTACAAATCTCTGTCAGATAACGTAACAGACAGTGTCTATACCATATTAAAACGATACAAAAAGTAAAATTTTGCATATAATATAGGAAAAATAAAACAAAAAAACAAGAAAATAATTCTATCATTCGATGGACAATACCATTACGTTTATTTTAAACGTAATGGTATTGTCCATCGAATGATAGAACTGTATTTGACAAGTTCGAAACGTTTTCATAAATAAAATGATTAATGAAAAGTCATTAACTATGTGATATTCGACATTTATTTTTCACGTTCTAATAATGAGTTCAGTGAGTGAGTTAATATAATTGAATACGTAAAGATTTTTGAACATGCTCGTTTTTTTTATCATTTCTATTATATATTTAATTCTTTAGAATAATCCTTAAAAATATATATAGGCCTACACTAATATTAAATTTTATTTGATATTAGTGCTATTCAGGATCTCTGAGAGATTTGCAGTTGGTATAAATTACCTAACTTAAAAGAATCCGTAATGTTCATTTTAAAAAATTAAATTAATTAATTACTACGATATTTAGTCAAAACAAGTCAGAATTTTGTTACCTAAATATCAGAAAATTATTTCTATGCTATGCAGTAGGGAAAAAGACCGGTAGAATGTCGAATCGGGACCCAACTGTCTCTCAGCAGCCCTGCTATTATTTAACGCTATTTATAGATAAACAGATAGTCGTTACTGTTATTTTCATTTAAATCCATTAATATAACATAAAATAAATGTAATTTATTTTTTATGAAATAAATAAAATACATTTTACATAAATTTTATTTGGATTTTTAATGAATTTTATATAAACTTTATATAACAATGAAAAACTTAAATGTTTTCCATTGTTTACTTTAATTAATGTCACAGCTAATCGAATTCATTATCAATGAAATACTAGTCTAAGCGTAAAATCAAAAGCATGCACTACTTATACTTTGGAATTATTCCAACTGGATAATAGCCTATCAGTTAAATTAGAGACGTGCCATAAAAATTGAAAACTTCTCAGTTAAATGTACGAGACGTGATCGACGAGTTTTGTGATTATACCGATAACTAAGTTACAACATAAAGAGGCAATAGCAGTTCGAAATAATACTTTCAAATTAAAAATTTCCAGTTTAATTCTCTTCCTTCATACGTCGAGTGCTTTCGAAAGCGTTCCTCCTACACATAATTTCTATACGTAATTTAAGTTAAAATTCTAGAAGTATCTTCTCAGTAATTTAAAATGTTTTAACCATGAGTATTTTATTTGAGTTTAAGCAAAAGACTTTTGGTAACAAAATTTGAAAACTCAATAAATAAATATCTGCAATCTTACCAGAAACTATTCATTTGCAATGATCTATTGGTTTAGTGCACTATTATAATAGAAAGATAACATTTTTCACGCTATAGTTTACGTCATTTTTTCTTGCATCGAAAATAGCAAAAAATTACCTAAATAATATTGCTATCTATTATTTACTTTATGGTAAACCAATGACATGCATTATAACTTACTATTGCATTCATTTCGAGCTAACTTTTTAACAATTTTTATTCTTCTTTGAACATTTAATAATTTTTAAAAATATTGCTTTGATTCGCACTCAGTAGTCTATTTTTAAACTTTTTAAAGATTTTTTTAGGTTTATTCACTTTTATATTCGTGTACAATGTTTATGTAAAAAAAACTGATTTATATGATATATAATATTATAATTGTATCAAAATTTTATTTAAAAAAGGGGTGCTTAAAGTCAAATAAATGTGCAGTGCTTATGTCAGTTATTCCACTGCAATTTTTATTATATGGCAAAGCCAAATTACGAATATTATAAATACAGTCGATCCCCCTATAACACTGTTGATTATTCCGTTTTATATGAATTCTATGTTGTACGAGTCACTTAGATTTTTAGTATTTGTAAAATCTAAGTGACTCGTACAACATGGAATTCATATAAAATGGAATTATTAACAGTGTTATAGGGGGTCGTCTGTATTATATTCGGATTCGATTTTGGCTATAAAAATTTTTCACAAAATACCGTAGTTCGAATTAAGTAGCAAAATCTTATTAACTGTAATTGAGAAATTGAAATTAATGATATAGCCTGATAAAAGCTCAAATTTCATATAAATCTAATTTAAAAGTAGGCTAATGTATGATTGTTCGTACGACTGACTTAATAATTAATAAGATAGATGTTATCAAGTATAATATTTATAATTTCCAGCTTATGCGAATTAACTGTCAATCATATTTAACTATATTCTATATAAGTACAGTTTCTAAAAATTTTTAGAATAAATAGAGTTTTATATTCACTTATATTATTATAGCTAGAATATTTATCATTCTGTGATACAAATCAATCTTTTCTTGGGCAGTCAATAAAACTCATTTTCGTAATTTTTATACTGGTTTTCAAGTCAAAACTGTGATTCTAATGTTTCGTCCATGCTTTTTGTTCTCTTACGACAGTGTTTCTCGGAGTTTTGATGTCAAAACTCCGAGAAACACTGTCAAAAAAAGCATCGTATTTCATCACAAACGTCTGTAAATTCTATAAATATTAGAGCTATATGTCAGTGGTACCTAGCAGAAAATTGCTACGTACTCCTGAAGACACGTTGGGAAACACTGCTCTATGTGAATGTGTGAATGATTGTCTCGTCCATAATGAATGCATGATAGTTTTTTTCTATTACTTTAAAAGTGATTCTTTTTGAATGCACATGACTAATATAGAAAAACATATGCTGGTAACGATGTTGCTGTATTTTCCCGGTATTCTTTATTTGTCTTCATCCCTAATAATTGCTATCATTACCTTATAGGCATTATTATGTTTCAAAGTGGATAAACAAAATCATGTCCTCCCCAAACGCATACTCACACACTAACATCCAAACATATAGGGGGAAAAACCTCAACTTTTTTTGAATTTCTTGACTTTTCAAGATCTCAGCCCAAAATGTAAAAATCTTGCGGGAGTTATTTTTTACCAATCGCCATACTTTGCCTCTGTTATGTAACAGGCAAAGTACGGAATCTGGAAAATAAAACATCAGAGTTGATTAATGAAATGGGTGAAATCAAGGCTGTGCACACGGGAGATGGGATTTAACCTCTATTTGGGAAGAATTAAAAATTAAAATATTTTGTATCCGTTCAGTTCCGCCTTAGTCTATTGTATTGTTTTATTCTATATCTATATTGTAAAATTAATAAACTATGCGATGGAAAATAAAATGATTATTCAAACCAAGCCTGTTAAAAATATCGAGCGAGGGCCTGGATATAATAATTCAAGTAATTCATATTTGCATTCATAGTATATATTTATCATAATTCAAATATTATTTCTCTTCATATTACTATATTCTACATATTAATACATAATGTTACTGTACTTTGTAAAATTTCAACGTTTTCTAGTTTGTATAATATTATCAATATAAGATTTCACAATTATATATATGCCTATATAACTTTATATAACTTAATAATATTTAGATATCTTCGTATTACTCATATATAGTATAACTTTAATCAACCACTTTGATTGAGCTAGTATATAAAATAATATACAATGACATGTTTTCATCTGTTTTTTTATGTTTTTATCTTTCTTAAATATTTTACAGATATATTTGTTTATAACTTTTCGATTTATTCTAGTTCCGAGTTATATTTGTTCTGGTTGCAAATTAATTTGTATAAAACTTGACTTTTTACTGGGCTACATTACTACTAAACTAAAAATTCAGTAAAACCTTGTTTTAACGGGCAAAATTTCCGGTCCTTACGTCCTATGTGAAAATTAATACCCTGTTAATTTTCAGATGCTTTTTACAATAATTAAATTAACGAGTGATTTATTTTAAATCCAAGAACATTATTTACCATTATTATTTATTACCGCCCCCAGGAACATTATTTATTTGTTTAGTTAAATACAGTTAAATCTTATTTTCCAAAAAATGTTTATTTATTTCGATTTTCATCGTATACCTGTTTATTACAGTCTCAAAATTACGCTGATTATAGCCTAAAAGCAATAATACATATAGAAAATTTTTCTGTGAAATTAAACTTTTCATGCATAATTAATTTTTTAATTAAACAAACGTATCTACATAAATAAAGACAAATTAACTAAATAAATTTTTAACATACGCATTGGCAAAATCTACTTTATTATATAGCCGAACGTACTTTCAGCTTTAACGGACACTTCCTCGCCCGATTAGTCCGTTAAATCAAGGTTTTATTGTATTATGATTATGTAACAAATTTTTATTCTTTTATCACAACAAATATGATTCTTTGTGATAAAAGTGAAAACTGTAATATCACTGGATCGGAAAACATTCATGAACCGAGTAGGATTGTAGAGCAGAAATGGTTCACGTGCTCAGAATTGGCATGCAACAAAAATTTTTTAGAATGCAACGTGATATTATTTTCGTTATTTTTTACTGTATTATGC